TTAAATTTTTAGATAGCGTCTGATTTTCGAAGGGACAAATCGGTATGATTCCATAGTCTAATAGTTGATGGTATAAATATTCTTTAGAAAGGGATAATCATTGCCATTTCTCAAGGGATAAACAGTTGTGATTGAGATTTATGAGTTTGAATGTTCCTCTGGTATCTTTCGCCCCTCATGTGCTCTGTACACTGGGTCGAACAAAATTGCATAGATAATCCGGAACTTGTTTATATTGTATGTTAGAAAACACTTGTAATTTTCGTCTTTCCCTCCTGTCAGCTAAAGTTTTCCACCCAACTTCCACATACAGACTTTCAGTTTTTGTAATTATAGGCAAACCAGTAACTATTCTAACAACTTCGAATCGAGACTTTCAATTTTATTAGCATATCCTATCCCACAATTATCCCAAACCTCAGTTGCATATTCAAAAATTGGTCTTATAAATACTTTATAGAGTTTTTCTAAATTTGTTCTACAAAGTTGGTACTTGAGTTTTCTCAGTATAGTTAAATGTTTCGTAACACTAATAATCAGATTGTCTATATATAGATATAAGAAAATGTGGTATGAGTGCCAATGAGACAACTCTCCATCCAAGTCAAAATTTATAAAAGTAAACCATTATAGGTCACAGTACGGTCTTCAACACGGAGCCTTGGCTCACACCGAACAGTAAGCTATAAAGGGCCCCAAAAATTACTAGTGTCAAACCATTCAAACGGGAAAACCAACGGTCTAATCTATATAAAAAACGAGAAACGAAAACACTTGATGAACCACATCAACAAACGACAACTACTGAACATCAAATTCCTGACTTAGGACAGGTGCAAACAAATGCAGCGGGTTTAAACGTTTTAATGGTACCAAACCTTCACCCTTTTTCTGAAACAATAGTGTAACATCACAACATAGAAAGACACACTATAAAATATCAACTGAAATAGCTTAACTCAATCAAAGGACATATTAACACCATTGAACATACACTGAACAAATAAATTTGACCTATGATACAATGTAAATACAAAATAAATAAACGAAGGAAAGAATAATAAAAGTAACATGCTATATCGGTATGAAATGTTAAACAAATAAAGAAAAACAATATGCTCGAACAAAAATATCAGCCATTTGCAATAACTTTAAACACAGGTAAATGAAAATAATTTTGTTGTTAGGTATACGTGTACAGTTCCAATAGAGAAAGGAAATATTTTTACAAAATAAATAATTTTGATGTTCATAGTACGAAGTGAAAATTTATAGTAATACCAAACACTTATCAAAGCTGGTATATAGACCAGACATAACCCTGAATAACATTAGATAACAAAAAAGCAATACAATAAGTATCAACAGGTCAAATAAACAAGAAAGTACGATTTGAGAGTACTCGCAGTTACTGACAGCTAGTTAAAAGCCAAAACAATTAATAATAAAAAATCATATATGGCTATTCAAACGAGCATCAGAAAAAACGTTACCCACGGTGTTTGTGGCATTTTGTAATAGGGATTTCTTTATCATTTCAGCAGAATTTTAGATCTGGTGCGTCATTATTTGAAAAAAAAATCATTATTTCTGTTTTGTCTGGATTAAAAGACATGACAATTCGTTCAGCTCCTCGAGATCACGATCAATAACAGTTTTTATATGTTCTTCGTCGTGCCCCGAGTAATTAAACGAAGTATCATCCGCATATAGTCTGGTCAGAGATGTGTTTTCTCTGCAATGTCAGTGTTCAGTTATGTAGTAACTCGCAAAAATTGGCAAAAAAAACCCAAAACAATAACAAATTTGGCAGTATTATTGCAATTGATACAGTATAATTTTTGAGTGATTTAAATGGAAATTTTACATTATAGCATATTACAAGATCTTGTCTTCGTGTACTATGTACATGGAATAATTTATGAAGTTGATTGATTATTGTTTGCTTTACGTCCAGTGGCAAATATTTCATGCATGTTAATGATAAGAACACATAAATTTTAAATACAATAAGTAGGTCTTGCAATAGGAGGTCTACAGTGAGGTTGGACGTAAAACTTGGAAAAACACTGGAAAATGAGAATATATTCAAAAAGGACAGAAATTAGCTTTGCAACAGCTGGCTACATGCAAACCCCTCAAATAATTGGTACAAGAGTTAATAAATTGCAGAGAGCGTTGATCAATGAAATCTACTATGAAGTCTGCCATCGGTATAACGTGTATTTTCCAATATCATTCAAGGCATATGATATAGGTTAGATACTTTTAGCTCGCTTTAGTAACTGTGATAGTTCTGTAAAACTGTATTGATTATTGTACTTGAGTTTTTGGTATGATAATCTATACTACCGTCTCGTGGGAGTGTGATCGCCTCAAGAGCGGGAGGTTGTTAGTTCGAATCCACACCCGGTCAAACAAAAACGTTAAAATTGGTATTTGTTGTTTCAACGCTAAACACGCGGCATTTAAGGATAAGATCACAGACTGGTCGGCTCGGAGGTAGAAATGGTGTCCTAGTAGGGTGACGTTTCTTTCTGTGAACTGTTAGCTTGTTAACCTACACGTTAAAAGTCCAGAATTTGGTGTTTCGAGCACAAATTTTGTACTCAGATTACCGAGTAAAGTAAACGTGAATGTAAAGCTATGTCATCTCAATGTATTTGTTTATATTGACATTAAAATCTTGCAACAAAACCACCAGTTTATCTAATGAACCGTATGCAATTTCTCCATATAAAATAATTGGAATATTAGTTTCGTCATCCCTTTAAGTTTTCGTAATTGATCTAGAAAATTATAATTCCGTTAAAAACCACGGAAATAAAAAAGAATGAAAAAAAAAAAATAATAATATAAAACGTTTGACATTACGTTAAAATACGTAATAGTTAAAAAATGAAATTCTCAAAACATTGTTAAGTTTAAAATGCTTAATGTATACAATTTCTTATTGACAATAAATTTTTTGGTGGATACAGATTTAAAATTGTGCCTGAATGATGAACGAGTTCTTCTTATCCTCACATTATGGTACTGTATTAAGCAACGCATCTTATTTGACAAAACGAAGAAAAAAAAACATTAGCGAAATATATATATATATATATATATAGTATGTCAAATTGGAAATCTTCAAAAATTGTGAATGGTTTAACAGTTATCTTCTACACTTTATATGTTAGTCAAGGAAATAAAATCAGTTCAAAATACACAGAGAAATTCCACTCACACGAATTTCATGTGAATTAAGATTCATGTGAATCTCACGTGAATTTCACCTCAAACGGAATTATTCGTGTAACTCACGTAAACTTACTTCATCTCCGTTGAAACTTATATGACTCTCATGTGAAACACATGTGAATTTCAAGTGAAAATCAAATGATTTTTTTTTTTAAATAAACTTATTCAAATAACATCGAAATTTAAAAATTTAGTTCAAATCGTAAACAATACAATTTTTTTTGGTAAAGTTCACGTGTTGTTCATATGAATCTCAATTCACGTGAAATGCACGTGACAATTTTCTTGTGAGCAAATTTCCCTGTGTTTATATCAATAACCTTGCTCTTATTTGTATTTCTTTCTGTGTCGTTTATTAATTTTTGTTCAGTAAGATTGCTTCCAGATATATATCAATTTGCAAAGTGAACATATATGAAAAAAATATTTTTTTATAAAATGATTTCCCGCTTGGAAATTGTAATTAGCTGCACAAAAGTCTAAACAATTAATTATCACAGATTACATCCCAATCTCATTTTCCTTTTAATAAAGCAGCCTTGAAAAAACACATGATAAAGCTATTTCACGAGATACCTGGATAGAAAATAGTTTGTAAAATTAACAAGTTTATCAACCTCATAGAAATGATAACCGCTACAATTTTACACTTCTGCATAGACATTGACAAACAAGAAAGTCTTTTAAGGATGTAAAAGGCGCATTATAAAATTTCAACTTAAAGAACTGTTTAACAAAAGATATTCGTTTCTAAATAAAACAGCAATAAAGTCATTTAGGGAACATAAAAGGCGCGTTAACAAATTTTCAACTTACAGAACTTTTTAACAACAAATATTCCTTGTTAAATCAAACAGCTTATTGGAGTAGGCAAGAATTTTGATTTATTTTTCTAAATGTATTTTTCGGTTAAAGCTAGTTCAAAGGCAAGTACACATGTTCAACAAGCAGTTGAAACAACCAAGGGTCTTCAATTAGAACACACTAAAGATAAACAGACCTATAGTTTGTAGTGTCATCAGTGCAATACTGTTCATATTTGTAATCCATGTTAAATATGAAAAGTAAATGAAACCCATCGGTAGAATTGAATGAACACCTACATAGCGAATTCGGGTTTGTTTACCCCGAAAAAGGCTGCTGATTTCCATGGGTCACCTACCTTACGAATTTAGATTATAGGGTTTTGTATATTGTTAGAGGCAATACATACAGTGACCTATAATTGCTTTTAATTATTTATTTATGTAATTTGTTTTTGATGTATAGTTTTTAAACATTATCTCATCATTTGTCCTTACATGACAAAGAGGAACAGTGTCACATGTATGTAGAGCAGCATCTGTTCACGCTCAAAGAGCACCTGATATCACCTTGTTTTATGGTGGTGTTCGAGTTGCTCAGTCCTTAGCGTTCTTTGTAGTTGGCGTTGTCATTTAAATATCAATTTGGTGTTCTTCACCTATTTTCCTCTGATAATCAACAATGCCACCAATGTCCCTCGCGCGTTTTCAAATGTCTTAAGGAAAAACATGTAATCATAATTTGAGTTTTAATATGTTTGATGAGCAAATAAGACAAAGCTGTGTATTGATCTTTGTAAACATGGATATGTATATTTACGTACATTTAAATTTCCAGTAAAGTAATTTTTTCTCATTTCGAATAAATCACGCTGACATAAAATACGATAGAATTGAGCACCATCATTGCATAATAATATATAAGTTTAGAAGAACGAGGAAAGAGGTTTAATGGCAAACGAAATACGCATTATTTGTTTACTGTTGACTATAAGCAATAGTTTTTGTCAAACTTCAGATGATGCTAAGAATCTGTTCACCGAATTATTCATTAATAAAAGTTACAATAAACAAGTTAGACCGATAAACGATTAAGATGATGCTATTCTAGTGACTGTAGATTTCGAGCTGTACAGCATTCATGATTTTGATGAGGTGGCAGAAAAGATTGCTGTTTCAGGTTACTTGGATATTATATGGTGGGATGACCAGCTAGTTTGGGATAGAGAGGCTTACAATGATATTTACGACATGTTAGTTCTTCAGGTAAGTAACAATCAAAATACTGTTTTATCAACCACAGGTTTAACTTTTGTTTTAAACATTTGTTCTGTCGAACTGATGAATTTGTCGCATGCGATTTCTTCTTTCAACTTGATTAAATCATTTATAAAAGACATTCCACCTCTACATGCTCCATATGCAACCACATATTATATGTTCAAAAGTAACTATTTCGTTTAATTAAGTCTCCCAAACGGACTCATTGTTTTTGCTCAGTTCTTATTATGTCACCCTGACGGAGGTCAGGTGACATATTGTTATTGTACTATTCTGTTTTTTATTTTTATTATTATTCCACACATTTTGTCCACACTATTTCTCGGAATCGTATGGACCAATTGTAATGGAACTATACAATAACGTTAACCACCATTGCCAGAAGTGCAGTGAGAATTGGCACTTCCAAGATGGCCACTGTTACCATGGTAACAGTAAAAAAGAGGAAAAATAAGATTTTAGTTTTGAGTGAATAATTTGAGTATGCCTGAACATTGGATTATCAAATTTTTACACATTGTAGCTGTCCTCCATATAGATGTTTTGGATGATTTTGGGAATCCTCAGATCTACAATATTGCCATGGAAACTGATCAAAAAATTCTTTAAAAATGTATGAGACTTTGCAGAACGGTTGACTGGCAAATCTAGATGTGGCATTTCACTTTGGAATTTCCAAAATGGCTGCTGTTACCATGGAAACAAGGCAAAAATATCAAAATGCTCAAAACTTTACAAAAATGTTAAACACCTTACATAAATGTAGCTTTTGACTTTTGAATTTTCAAAATGGCCGTCGTTGCCATGGAAACAGCACAATTGTTGAAAATTGAAAAACGTTATGAAAACCGGCAGAAAGATCTGTTGTAATGCATATATCTGCATTCACTGATGGAAAATTTCTAGTTATTATTATGGCACCCTCAACGGAGTTGGGGTGACATATTGTTATTCTACGTTTCTTTTTATTTTTTTATTATTTTTATTATCATTTTTCTTCCACACTTTTTTGTCCAGTCTGGAACTCCGATTTGAATAGACCCAAGGTAATGGAACTTTACAATAATGTAAACCACCATGTGAAGATTTGAAATTGGGGGTTTGCACTTTCAAGATGGCCGCTGTTACCATGGAAACAGCAAAAATGTCCAAAATTTCAAAATGCTCCAAACTTAATGAAACTTTACAACAATGTTAATTGGCATGTGTAGATGCGGTCTTTGACTTTGGAATTTTCAAAATGGCTGGCGTTACCCTGGCAATAGGAGGACGAGGGTGCCATCCGTTATTGCTCGCAATTACAAATCTAGTTATTATTCTTGCTCTTCCGCCACTTTTTTGAATGAACTTGTCCGCACCATTTCTCCTAAACCGCTAGTCAGATTTACTTAAGGTTTCACAATATGTTAGATTAACATGTCTAGTGGTGCAATCAGGGTTTCGTTTGTGCATTGGGGTCTAAAAAGGGGTACTTTGAGGGACCAAAAGAAGGGAGGGGTTTACTATAGAACCCTATGGGATTTTTTTTTCAAATGATAGTAACTTGAAAATCGTTAGTGATAGACGCAATCTTTATAATTGAAAATGTTCTACATGATAAATCACATTAAATGAAATAAAGGGTTCGTCCCTAGGGGTCACCCCCACCCCCTGCCATTTGAGAAAGTTCAAATATCTTGTAATTGGTCAAGATCCCCACCCCTAAACCATATATATTCTGGTTTGTCACGATAAAGCACATCAAATGAAATAAAGGGTAAATGCCCAGGGGTCACCCCCACCCCCTGCCATTTGAGAAAGTTCTAATATCTTGTAAATTGTCGAGATCCCCACCCCTAAACCATATATATTCTTGTTTGTCATGATACAGTTCATCAAATGAAAAAAAAAGGATTAGTCCCCAAGGGTCACCCAACCCCCTGCCATTTGAGAAAGTTATAATATCTTTTAAATGGTCGAAATCCCCACCACTAAACCATATATATTCCGGTTAGTCATGGTACTGCACATTAAATGAAGTAATGCATTAGTCCCCAGGGGTCACCCCCACCCCTTGCCATTTGAGAAAGTTCTAATATCTTGTAAATGGTTGAGATCTCCTCCCCTAAACTATATATATTCCTGTTCGTCATGTCACAAAGATTCGAATGATATGTTGGACAGTCCCCAGGGGTCCCCCACCCCCAATGATCTAATATCTTGTAAATGGTCGAGATCCCCACCCCTAAATCATATATATTCTTATTCGTCATGTCAAGAAGATTTGAATGATATATAGGTTCAGTCCCTAGCGATCACCCTCACCCCCTGCCATTTGATAAAGTTCTAATATCTTGCAAATGGTTGAGATCCCCACCCCTAAACCATATATATTCCGGTTAGTCATGATACAGCACATTAAATGAAGTAAAGTATTAGTCCCCAGGGGTCACTCCCACCCCCTGCCAATAGAGAAAGTTCTAATATCTTATAAATGGTTGTGATCCCCTCCCCTAAACCATATATATTCCTGCTCTTCATGTCACAAAGATTCGAATGATATATAGGGTCAGTCCCCAGGGGTCCCCCTACCCCCAATGATCTAATATCTTTTAAATGATCGAGATCCCCACCCCTAAACCATATATATTCTTATTCGTCAAGTCAAGAAGATTTGAATGATTTATAGGGTCAGTTCCTAGGGATCACCCCACCCCCTGCCATTTGATAAAGTTCTAATATCTTGCAAATGGTTGAGATCCCCACCCTTAAACCATATATATTCCTGTTTGTCATGTCACAAAGATTCGAAAGATAAATAGGGTCAGTCCCCAGGAGTCCCCCCACCCCTAATGATCTAATATCTTGCAAATGCTCGCGATCCCCACCCGTAAACCATATATATTCTGGTTTGTCATGCCAAGATGATTTGAATGATATACAGGGTCAGTCCCTAGGCATTACTAATGCATATATCTTTACTGGACTTTGCCCAATGTCAGGCGAACCTGGGTATGACGAATTATGGGAGCTTCGTTTGGGAGACTTCGTAACAGCATCCTGTTACAATCATTTCTTGTTAAAAATGTTCTTCATATCAAATTTAATATTAATTAACAATGTGTATATTATAAATGACGGGATATTGCTGTTGCGTCCTAACATAGTGGCAAATTTTATATAAGACTGAAATTGTGTCTTTTCTAAATATTAGAGGGTCATTTAATAGACGTTGTAGATTTAATTTTAGAGATGTATAGTTCAAAATAAGTATATTTTTATCTATAAATAATTGCTTCGATATAATTTCGTAAGTTTGACGGAATAAGGTTCTAAAGTGACGATTCGCAATGTTATTTAAAAGAAATATAGCATAAACACTAACTTTTAAAAGAGCACAAAGAACAACAATGAGCTAAAGCGGGAGTAACGCAAACCCCTTTTAAACAAACAAAGGGGTAATAAAAGTTGATATAGAAGGATAAGCAGATAATGACCTAAATATGAATATATATCTTGGGAAAAAGGATAGGATTGTTGTTACGACAAATTGAAAAATCCATTATCATCTGTGCAACTTATTTTCAACAACCAACTCGTAATAAATTTGTAAATTTTTGAAGGGTTGACTTCAAATTCAACACTTAACCCTAGGTTTAATAGTTTCATTGTAAGCATAATCCTTTTAACGATGATATTATAATAGAAAAACGAAATATAGTATCAAATAGGATGTAAATACACCACAAGCAGAAACTGCACGAATGCTGCTTTATAGAAATGTGCACAATTGGGAGGCGAATAACATTTTTTTAACGTTAAGTTGTGCTCTAAAATGACTCTCATTTTCAGTTCATACATGTAAGATATGAGAGGGACCCGAGCATGTTATTAGAGTATGTGATAAAACATATTAAAGAATAAACATACATGTAGCTTGTGATAAGAAATTGTTCTCATATGACATGTATGAATAAAGAAAAAAATCTATAAGAAGAGAAACATCTCGATCATATCATTTTCTGATTTTTTTTTCAATCTGGGTTGTGTTTTAGAAAGTACGATTTGTTTCTCTCTAAATCAAACACAATATTTGAAATATATATAGAGGTAGATGTGGTATTGCCAATGAGACAACTCTCTACAAGAGACTAAATGACATAGAAATTAACAACTATTGGTCACCGTACGGCCTTCAACAATGTGCAAAGCACATACTGTACCGGAATGACAAATGTAGAACAATTCAAACGAGAAAACTAACGGCCAAATTTACGTACAAAATAATGAAATAACAACCACCGAATTACAGGTTCCTTACTTTACTTGTCTAGGAAGGCATTTCTTTTCTTACGAAATAAAGTTGGACCACCAATTTCAATTTGTCTTTAAGATTGTAATTTGAAAAACTATTTCAAATGGTAGACAAACATATGTGTTTATGGTATTGAATAATACAGTCGAGTTACATGATCCTTGTGTCCAGCTTTGAACATCAGTTACATTTACAATTAACTTTAGATAAAACGTCCGTTTCCTTCTTATTGTGAAAATGAATTGATACAAAAACTTGGTGTCTTGAATATCGTGTTCTTCTATCATGTCTAAGGCTTAACATTTGATGATAAATTGTTTTGAATTGTCAATGAAAAACGAGCAAATTTACTTCCGATTGGAATTACATTTCAACTTAATTAAGTGATGGTTTTAACATTCTTATATGCTTAATGTATTTCAGGATACGATTTGGAAACCGGACATTGTATTAAAAAATGGTTTTCACAAGTTTGAAGTACTAGGTGGAAGTTTTTATTATGTCCTGGTAAAACACGACGGCCGAATATCTTGGTATCCGTATCACATGTTTGAAAGTCAATGTTCTATGGATGTTACTTTTTATCCATTTGATGACCAGACCTGTCATGTTATATTTACCATATGGACGTATCGGTATTACGAAGTTGGATTTTATTCTGCTTCAAAATTAGGAGTGGGAGGATACGTAGAAAATAGTTTGTGGGCAATAACTTCAACTTCGGTGCAGATAAACAGGATATTAGGTAGCCATGAGATTGTTTTCACAATTAATCTACGCCGTAAACCTACGTATTACATAGTCAATATTATTATACCTTTAATATTCCTGAGCATTCTTAATTCCATAGTATTCATTAATCCTGCCGATGCTGTCGAGAAAATGTCTTATTCAGTTACTGTCTTTTTGTCGTTCGCGGTATATTGTACAATAATAAAAGCCCAACTACCCGTCAATTCATAAATCACATCCATCCTGAGTATTTACATCGTAGTTCAACTGAGTTACTGTATTTTAGTTCTTGTCGTTAATTCGTTCCAGTTAAGAATACATCACAGACATGAATGTGACGAAAAATCTAAAATATTTATAATTGCTGTCAAACTTCAAAGAAGAATGTGTTGCTGGAGAAATAAGTTGCAATTTGATACACACGAAGAAGGACTCATCAACGTCGAAGATGGATGTGCGATTGAAAATGAATCCCCTAAATTGAATCACACCGAAGACGCAATAACATGGCGTGATGTATCGTCTGCTATTGATTTCTTTGCTTTTTGGATTTTGATGGGAACAGACTTGATTATAACATTGGTAATTTTCATACATATAGGTGTAAATAAATCAATCATATGATTTAAATGAAATGCACCCACGCTATACATGGCTTTAGGATATATCGGTTCGAAGCATTTTTCTTATAAATTAATTTCTTCCGGTCTATAATACCTGCAATGCTTCATTATGATAAGTCAAATGCCCTGTTTTGCAACAGGTACTAATAATCATGATACTTTTAAAAAATTCAAATCATAAAAGATATATGAAACCACATTTTTACTGATTGTCTAACAATATGTCTACATTAATATATTTATATTACACAAAGCCATGCTTTGTGTAGACGCTATTTGACGTTTTCCTACTTATTCCGTCAAATGTTTACTGGTTGATGTCTTAGTCAGAATACAGATATTTTATTTATCAGTTGATTGGCTTTGAATTATCTTTCAGTAGCTGCAAGTACTCTTCAAATGGAATATCGTACCTTTTGTCATTTTTTTCGAGCCAAATTGATTATTCAAACCCTTTAAAACTGATTATTACAGTTTTTTTAGCGTTGCGTTTACACAACTGACCAACACCAGGTAAAGGATTGGTTTCGAAACATTCTTGACACCTCGACATTCTTTCTATGCCTGTCAAAAGTCTTAACGCTGTGTTAGTAAATTAAAAGTTGTTGTTAGTTATTGTCTGTCATATTTATTTTTCACGCATTGGTTACGCATAAAACAAGAAGTTGGCTTTTTGTCGTTAGAGTAGTTTTGAATTTGGTCATTTCAGGGCTCTTTGTGGCTAACTATATGGTATACTAGTTGTTGAAGGCCGTACAGTGACCTACAGTATAACATCGACGTCCTTTTGTCCCTGTTGGGTAGTTGTTTAATTTATACCGCTGTTATTAGATTGCTTGTCCCCGAAAGTGGCACCAACGTGGCGTGAGAACTCGTTTTAAGGAACATTCCTTGCGTTCTTGCATCGATAGGAATAGTTTACACCAGGAATGAGATGTATGCTTATTTTCGCTGTATCATTATCTTTTTTTATTTTATGTTTACCTTAAGTTTAGACATATCGTTTTTGTGAGTCAGAAACATCTCCCTGATGATGGAAGTAAGTAAAAAGTTAAATTGTTTATAAAACGAAGAGGCTAATGATATACAGTGTGTAAGCATTATTTATATAAATATGTTAAATGAGGTTACATTTTCTAACATATTGTTACAAATAAAAAAAAGACAGCACTTCTATCTTCGGTTTATTGATATGATTATGCAATGGATGTCCGGGCACTAGTAGCAAAATAATCTAAATTCACTTTTATTTTGTAAATTATCTACATTTAGAGTGAAGTAACCACGGCTTTGTATATTTTATTACAAAATTATCAAATGTGAAAACTGCATTTTGGTATTGTGAAGTGAGTTTGACGGTACACAAATGGATGGGCAACTAGCATAAGTCCAAGACCCAATGATATTTGTTCTTGTAAATTCATTATAAAAATCATAGTTAACTACTGCAAAAAAATGCCTGTTTGCCAGTTTTCAAATTAAGACAATAGCGAAATGCAAACCTTTTAAGTTGTTTGATTCAAAGCTATTTTAAACTCGTTAAACCTCTGATCGTTAGTTATCTATGTAATCAGCCAAACGCAGAAATCACGAAAGGAAACAAACATTTTGAAATAAACAAGGATCCTTAAATTATAAAAATACAAGTTGCTTTTTTCAGCCTGAAGTCAAATTAGAATACCTGTTAATTTCTTGTCAAATGATAATACAAATTACTTTTATGTCAATTGAGAATACATTTATTTCTATTCCGTTATATTTGAATTTTCCCTTTTCTATTTCTATCTTTAGTAACTGTGGAACTAGTTTGTAAAACTAGTTTTTAGAACTAGTTTGATTAGTATCTAATTATAAGTCTTTGGTTAGTACTGTACGGGCATTTCTTAGGCGGTATTACGGGTGGGGTTCTATAGTCATATATAAGTCCGATACTTGTATAGTATGTATCGAGGTGATCACAGTAACTTCTAAGTACAACACGTTCTGCATAGTATGTCCGACGCAGGTTCTGACCAAGACCATAATGCTACTGGTGAAGATCATCATGATACAGATTTGACTACCGATGGGGCTATTTCACTTTTCACTTCAGCTTTTAACAAAACTTTAGAGAAACAGAAAGAGTCGTTGATTAACCATTTTGAAGCTTGGTTAGGCAAAAGTACGAAGGCAACCGTGTCGACCAAATAGAATTTACATTCAAGAGCGAAGGAATCAAGATTCAACATTCGTTTAATCCCGAACGCTTGGATAAACTTTCCGCAATTGAAAGGTATTTAAAGTTGGGCTATGTTACAGAAGTTGGTAATATAATTTCCGAGGAGAAAGGAATGATTCGTAAGCGGAATAAGATCCTGAAAGTAGATGATAAACACGGTTGGGACACGGTAGAGGGATATTTGGATAGTCCGTTGGCAGAAAATAAAGAAGATGCTAGCAATTTACGTGCTGCTATTTCTATGGCTGCTTGAAAAAGAAATTCTAAGCCGTACAACAAACGCGATACTGCAAATAGTGGTTCCAGTTCAGGAAAATTTAATTCCAGAAGCTTTTTTCGTGGCCTTAGCCAAGTCAGTGGTACAGACGGAGTCAAAGAAATATACAAGTGCTTTTATTGCAATCAACCCGGACACTTCACACGGATCTGTCCTCAAAGAAGTATCCCTACAGCCACTTTTAGTGCACCAAAGTCCGAGCAGGATCAACACACAGAAAAGGCACAGTAACAGCACAGAAACAGGCACAGATGAAGTTGAGTGTTTATTTGAATTTGGTAACAATTATGAGAAAAAATCTGGCAAACATCTTGTAAACGTTAAAGGAAATTTGATATAACATTCATCATTTTGGAAAAATATACTTTATTCTAATAATTTTATTATGAACGTTATTGGTTTTGGTTATAGGATTCCATTTTTTAGTGATCCACCTTCTGTTTTTCTCAAAAATAATAGATCAGCCTTACACCACTCCGAGTTTGTTGAAAATTCTATTTAGGAACTTTTATCAAAACATTGTATAACAGAATTAAATTGTCCATTTGTGGTTAATCCATTAACTGTATCGGTTAATAGTTCAGGCAAAGAAAGGCTGGTTTTAAATTTAAGTCATATTAATAAATTGGTTGAAAAACAGAAAGTCAAATTTGAAGGGATGAAAGCATTAATTCTAACGGTTTTGCGTTTAAATTTGACATGAAGTCTGGTTATCACCATATAGACATTCACCCTGATCATCAAATGCATTTGGGATTTTCTTGGAAATATGGCGAGACGTTAAGATATTTTACTTTTACAGTTTTACCTTTTGGACTTCATCAGCCGGTCATATATTTACAAAGACAGTACGTGTTTTAGTTAAATATCGAAGATCATTAGGATTTCCTATGATTGTTTATTTAGACGACGGTAGCGGAATTGCAGTGGAATTTTAGAGATTGTACTTTAGAAATATCGACTAAAAAATTAATAACATTAAAAGAGGATATTTCAAATTTAGTTGAAGGTAAAACGTATTTTACTTGTAGAAACATAGCAAAAATCTGCGGAAAATTATTTCCATGATTCATGCACTTGGTAATGTTTGTCCGATAATGACGAAGCACATGCATGTGTTAGTATGTTGTAGAAATTCATGGGATGATATTATTCTAGTAAATGAATATATTTTAGAAGAGTTAAAATTTTGGTATTTTGAGTGCGAGTCATTATCATTTAAACGAATCGTACCTATGAATAGAATGCCACAACGTGTAATATTTACTGATGCTAGTCAGTATACTGGTGCAGGGTTTATTTTAAATGATAACAAAATTGTACATTTTATGTTTGATGGTCTTGATCGAGACAAAAGTTCTACATGGAGAGAATTAAAAACTGTAGAAAATAACATTTCATGTTTCAATAGATATTAAGAAAATGTGGTATGATTGCCAATGAGACAATTCTCCATCCAAGTCACAATTTGTAAAAGTAAACCATTAAAGGTCAAAGTACGGCCTTCAACACGGAGCCGTGGCTCACACCGAACAGCAAGCTATAAAGGGCCCCAAAATTGACTAGTGTTAAACCATTCAAACAGGAAAACCAACGGTCTAATCTATATAAAATACGAGAAATACTTATGAACCATATCAACAAACGACAACCACTGAACATCAGGTTCCTGACTTAGGACAGGTGCAAACAAATGCAGCGGGTTTAAACGTTATAATAGGCGCCAACCTTCACCCTAACCTGAAACAATAGTGTAACATCATAACATAGAAAGACACACTATAAAATATTCAAGTCTGAATTAGCAGGACAATTTGTCAAGTTGTATACAGATAACCAAAATGTCGTACCAATTGTTAAAAAAGGTAGCATGAAAATGGAGTTACAGGACATTGGTTTAAGTATATTCCACATTTGTTTATCTTGTGATATTTTCTTAGACGTTGAATGGATTCCTAGAGATAAGAATTATTACGCAGTAAAATCTTTTATTATTATGATTGGGGCGTTTCAAAGCATACATTTACATATTTCAGTTCATTGTGGGGACCATTTACATGTGACCGTATTTCGGATTCTAAATACAGGAAAGTAGATTTTTTTAATTCTTAAT